GTGTCAGCCTCGTGTATCTATCCTTCTCCCGAGGATAAGGGGGCGGGATCCTTGTGCACACTTTCGAGATAAGATCGATGGATAAATTCTAAATTAAAATTTCCCCGAATCAGTATTGGTCCCGAATTCCAAGGTCCTTCGTTCGAAAAAAAAAGAAAGAAAGAAAGAGAGAGAGAGAGAAAAAAAACATGGACAGGATGCCGACGGATGGAGGATATATATATATATATATATATATATATATATATACACTCTACCCCCTTCCCAGGGAGAAGGAAGCTTCCGCGGAGCTTCTCGATCTCAGATCGCAAATTTTCGCCTTATACAAAAGTAATAAAAGCTTGCTCGTTCACAGTTCGATTAATCGATTGTGTAATCGCGTGGTCGTTTCGTGCGCCGCATCATCGAGGAGACAAAATCATCGACGGATGCAAAATCATCGCGCGTGGTTCTTCGTCGAAGAAGATCGAGTCGAATTTTATATATATATATATATATATATATTTAAGCGATTAAAAACGTCGTTGAAACGAAAGAAAGAAATTCTTTGACTTTTTTTTCTCTTTGCTTTTTTTCTTCCTTTTCTTTTCTTTTCTTTTCTTTTCTTTTCTCTTTGGTTTTCGGAGTTTTCGGAGCAGCGTGAAACTTTTTCGCGAAAAGTTAGTTCGAGGAGTCAGGCGTCTATACATATACATATTTCTATACATACGAATAAACGAAGGAAACCGCAATAGAGAAGATCCACAATGAATTTATTAAGCGTTGCGAGCGAGTGATTATATTATTATCCGCGATCGTTTATTCGCACGTATATATATTGGATATAATTATATTTATGTGTATATTTATATTTATATATATATATATATATGTATATATATATATGTATATATATATATATATACGAGACTGGTTCGAGCTGGTGTTGAATATATTTCTGAACAAGTTAGGCCATCGTCAGGGTGCCCGCGCCCATGCCGAAGCCCACCCCCTTCGGCCCGAAATTCCGGTTGTAACATCCGCGACAATAAATGTCTCCGTCTGGGCCGTCGTTCAGATTCGTCGAGTCTAACGAGCGGTGGCACTCGGCGCAGCTGAAGCAACGCTTGTGCCACACGCGATTCTTCGAGATCATCTGCTCGGCAGCGTACACGGAGTAGCCGCAACGCGCGCACCCGTGCCCGTCGCTCCGCTTCTGCCCGACCTGAGGCTTTGCATCGATGCTGAAAAAAATCGATTCGAACATGTGAGTGGAAAATAGAAGAGGGGAAGTTGAATTATCATGATTGACATTCTTTCTTTTTTTTTTTAATTCATTCTCCAAACCAAAATTTTAATCTAGGAAAATAATAATCTTGCGAAAGGAAGATGAGAAATTTTTAATTTTGCGTGGAAAAGAAAGGTAGATTCTAAGAGAGGGTCCAATAATCTCGGCGAGATTTAAATTTCGAAATTTAATTTCAAATCAAAATGTCTGGATTCTCTTGGAGAATCGTTAGAGTTCAAAACACGAAATGGAAAAGTGGAGTGTGGGAGCCAATAAGGTATAATAAAAACTTACTAGGAGGGAGCGTGATCCCCATCGGTTGAAACGAGGGTGGGGGTATGTCCGAATCCGAATCCTTTGGGTCCGAAAAGCTTGCTGTAGCACGATCGGCAGTGAATCTCCTTGTCGGGTCCATCGCAGGCCAGCATAGAGTCGAGAGGTCGATGGCACTCGGCGCAGTTGAAGCATTTCTTGTGCCACATAGTCCCCTTGGCAAGCTGTTGTTCGGCGGCGAATACCATGCCACCGCAACGAGGGCAACCTTGACCGGCTGGCGCCTTGATTGCCGTCGTATCGGGATTGTAATATGGTCGATTAGCCGAAATCTCTTCCTCCCTGAAACGGAAATAATTTTCTCTTTCAAAAATCGATTCGAAAAATTTCAAATGGATTAATTATATAATTCGAATGAATTAAGGAAAGATCCGTCGAATTGCTATTTCGATTCTCGAGGAGTTAGTTTTTTAGAGTTTATCAATCGATGAATATATAATTATAGAAGAAACGATTGGAAAAATATATTGGATATATTGGTTCCGAAAGTAATTCCGTTTTTTCACACGAGTGTCGCTAGTGTTGCACACTGTTTATCCAGCCAACTTCACTCTAAACCGTTGTTATTATTCGAGAGTCGGCATTTCACACGGTTTATCTATAAGAAAAATTCGTTCGATTCCGTGCAATTGTTTTGTTTTTCGCGCGTGATAAAGATGCGAGATTAAAAGATTTTCGGCATATTTCATTTTTTTATTACCGAAAAGGTAAGAATGCTGTTCAGGCAAGTTCAAAAAAGTTACGCGAAGTCTATGGAAAAGAAAGTGTATCAACGGTGTGCCAGTGTAAAAATTGAAATCGAAGTTGACAAAGACAAAATAAAGGCATCGATCGAAATGAACCGACGAATAAACAACTCGAGAAATCGTATTTGTCGAATTCGATTGTTCGTGATCGCGTGAAACAATGTCATGCATTGTCGTGAAAAAGAACGAAATTACTTTCTATAACGAGCTCAAACGAGGCTTCTTCAAAGATATAATGGACCAAGAGACTCGAATACACATATCTTTGAAGAATTAGTTTTTCCTGGAAGAATGTCGCAGCTTGCACGGAGGGGAGAAGAGGATCTACTCACGTTAGACCATCGGTTTGTAAGAATCCCGAACCACATGCGAATCCGTATCCGTGCGGTCCCCATTTCTTTCCGTAGCAGGTCTTACAGTAGACGTCTTTGTCGGGCCCGTCGCAGGCGATGATCGAGTCGAGCGTTTTGCTGCAGTCGTGACACTTGTAGCATTTTCTGTGCCATTCGCGGCCCTTCGCGAGCACCTGTTCGGCGGCGAACACGACGCCGCCGCAACGTGGACAACCTTTGCCGGGCGGGGCTTTGATTATGGCGGTGTCGATCACGGTTGTACGAGGAGCTGCCTCGCTACGATTCAGAAAAATTCACAATTCCCTTGATCCGAAGAAGAAATTTATTTGTCGACACCATCGAGTCGCTCGAGTGAACGAATAAATTTAAAATGTTAAAATTTAAAATTTTTTTAATGAATTATTATTTTTCTTTTTTTCTTTTCTTTCATCAAGAGAGATATGGATTCGATGGAATTCAAATTTATTCCCGTTCGAGCGACTGGTGGTTCGAAGTTTCTCGGGGATCACGATAAAACAACTCCATGCAAAGTGGAATCGGTCGATATTGATCGGCGATTAAAATTCAGAGTTGCCGATGTAAAGCGTCCATCGAGAATTGAATTTGATCAATATCGTCGAGCACGAGATTTGCTTAAAGGAGATTTTATATGTATATATATATTTTTTTTTTGTTTGTAGTAAAATCAACTACTGTATTACGCGAAAAGGTGCATGCTTTTAGTGCACGATACTAAATTAGAGGTGGGCGAGAGAAGTTGTTATTATGGCTCTTTAAGAATTAGTGTCAGTTACAATCAGAAACGGTTTAGTCAGACTCAAAAAATAAGATAACTAACGAAGGTGAGTAATAGCGCAAAGCGTTAAAGCGTCGATTTATATTATACGCCACGAAGACGCGTGCGTTCGTTCTTTTCTTTCATTCTCGCGAAAATCTGATTTCTTCAACTTGAGCGATAAATGAATCCTGAACTCTCCCCCCTTTGGAACAACTCTGTGTTTCGAATTTCGATAAAAAAAAGGAAAAAAAAAAAAAAACAATTATTCCATCCAATTTTAAATTTCATTTCACGATATCGACGATTTCCACGATATAATTTCATCGAATTATGTATCGAACGATTTTAAAAATTTTTTTTTTTTTCTTTTCATAAATGCAAGAGAACTTAATCCTGTCAATTTGTAAAATTTCCCCAATGATATTAATTTAACGCAACAGCGGATGGATCTCGAAACGCCATCGAACAGTGCGTTGTTATTCCTCCAACAATTATTCGATATTTTGCAACATGTGTATATCTTTTCCATTGGAAAACTACGTTTGAGAATTAATTGGAAGAGATTGGGAGAGCTCCCTGAGAAAATCAATTTGGATGGACACAAACGGACACAAACACGCGCACGCACACAACACACATAGAGAGAATAGTGGCGAATAGTAGCATAACTAAGGGGACGCGTACCCCTCGTCCTCAATATCGCACTGCAGCCCGATCCACATAACCCCAGCGTGGCCAATACCTCGCGGACCGAATTTCTTCGGATAGCAAGCTGTTAAGCAGACAAGCGCATCGTATATAGTGAGAGTGTAGAAGCCGAGAGGCGGGATATATCTCGCGTGTTCCCGTCTCAGTCTCGGCTCTGAAAACCCACCCATTAGCGTAGCAGTCGCTTTGTAGGGCGCCACCACCCTGGCCGTACCCATAACCCTTCGGTCCGAATTTCTTTCCGTAGCATACTGCGGAGAACATTGGTTAAAGGTATCTGCTCTGTTCTTCAACCTAGTTGCCTACGTTCACGTTCCCAGGGATATATCCTATACTTGGATACGTTCTACTTTTTTCCCTTTTTTTCATCACGATTTATTTAAAAATCGATCGATTTTTCGATTTTTTTCTTTTTTGATTTTAACGAGAGAGAATTTTGAAAAGGGTGGAGAGATATAGATATCTATCGATTTTTTGATTTTTCTTTTCTGATTTTATCAGGAATTCTGAAAAGGAGAGATATCTATCGATTTTTTGATTTTTCTTTTCTGATTTTAACACAAGAGAATTCTGAAAAAGGTGAAGAGATACAGATATCTATCGATATTTTTTTTTTTTCTGATTTTAACACGAGAGAATTCTGAAAGGGACTGAGAAGTATAGATATCAATTTTTTGATTTTTTTTTTCTGATTTTAACACGAGAGAATTTTGAAAGGGACTGAGAAGTATAGATATCAATTTTTTGATTTTTCTTTTCTGATTTTAACACGAGAAAATTCTGAAAGGAACTGAAAAGTATAGATATCAATTTTTTGATTTTTCTTTTCTGATTTTAACGAGAGAGAATTTTGAAAAGGGCGGAGAGATATAGATATCTATCGATTTTTTGATTTTTCTTTTCTGATTTTATCACGAATTCTGAAAAGGAGAGATATCTATCGATTTTTTGATTTTTTTTTTCTGATTTTAATACGAAAGAATTTTGAAAAGGACTGAGAAGTATAGACATCTATCGATTTTTTGATTTTTCTTTTCTGATTTTAAGATGAGAGAATTCTGAAAGGGACTGAGAAGTATAAATATCAATTTTTTGATTTTTCTTTTCTGATTTTAACACGAAAGAATTTTGAAAAGGACTGAAAAGTATAGATATCTATCGATTTTTTAATTTTCTTTTTTCTGATTTTAATACGAGAGAATTCTGAAAAGGACATAAAGATATCTATCGATTTTAACGAGAGAATTTTGAAAGGGACTGAGAAATATAGATATCTATCGATTTTTTGATTTTTTTTTTTTTCTGATTTTAACACAAGAGAATTCTGAAAAAGGTGAAGATATAAATATCTATCGATTTTTTTTTTCTGATTTTAAAGAGAATTCTGAAAGGGACTGAGAAGTATAGATATCAATTTTTTGATTTTTCTTTTCTGATTTTAATACGAAAGAATTTTGAAAGGGACTGAAAAGTATATATATCAATTTTTTGATTTTTCTTTTCTGATTTTAACACGAAAGAATTTTGAAAAGGACTGAAAAGTATAGATATCTATCGATTTTTTAATTTTCTTTTTTCTGATTTTAACACGAGAGAATTCTGAAAAGGAGAGATATCTATCGATTTAATTTTTCTTTTCTGATTTTAACACGAGAGAATTCTGAAAAAGGCGTAGAGTTTAAACTAGATAGAGAGCGTCGTAGAACGTATCCACAGTATTTCGTATCTCTGGTCTGATGTAATATCCTCACCTTTGCAATAGATGTCCTTATCAGGACCTTCGCAGCAGTTGACCGAGTCTAATCTCTTGGAGCAGTTGGCACATTTAAAGCATTCCTTGTGCCATTGCTACGTGGGACACAAAGGGACACAGTGGTGGTTAGTCACCGAGAGGAACCGCGTTCCGATTCTCACGTTCTATTACTCATAGTTATTCCCAATTTTTCCATTCTTCCCTTACGATTTCTCCTCTCTTTCCAAATCAGATTTCCAAATTGGATTTGTTCTGCTCGCTCTTACTTTCTTTTCAAATAAATGTCTCCCGAGTAGACACTAGGTAATAGAACTTGGTCATTTGTGAGTCGAGGAGAACAGATACAACAATAAGGAAGAAAATCATCGTCTAAAAGGTATCTAAGATGGTATCTTTCGTTCTTCTCTCTAGACAAATCTAAGTGAAGAAAGAATCTAGAATCTAACTAGATTTGTATCGTGTGACAATTTACGGAACACTTTGCGCCAATGTGTTTACCACGGATCTCTGAACTAACTAACTAACTAACTAACTAACTAACGTAAGGAATAATAACTAAGAAGGAGTACACTACAAAAGGATGACCATGGACAAGAGGATGACAAGAAATTAATTTAGAATAGACACGTATGGTGGATGATGATCGAGAGAGAGGAAAAGAAAAAAAAAAAAAAAAAGAAAGAGAGACGAGCAATAGAGTTTTGTTGGATTGCAAAAGATACCTCGACAATATATCTCGCGATCAGGACCATCGCAATGAAGCGTCGAGTCCAGAGACCGATGACAGGTTTTGCACTTGTAGCATTGCTTATGGTAAGCCTAATCACAAGAAGTAGGAATAACCATGATGATGTCCCGCAATCGATCGTATATATCTTCTCGCTATGATCGATATTTATTAAAAAAGAAGAAAAAAAAAAAAAAAAGAAAAAAAAAGAAAGAAAGAAACCTTGAAACCTTGGTACCGCGACACAGGTGTCTCTCAAGTTTAAATTTAATAATCGGTTCGGAATAAAATTGAAGAGAGAATTGGTAATTTGTTGTTAATCGAGAGGCTAACTTGTAGTTGAATTTTGGTGCGTCTCCAATTTGGCAATCGTGTTATAATCATATGTTATACGCCAGACTAGGGGGAGGAGGACGAGCTTTCTTCCGAGCTGAAATTTTATCCTCGACGACAGAAGCTCGAGGTTCTAATTACAAGATTAATCAAACGAGTAAAATTTCAAGATAGATGAGGATGTTCGTGTAAGAGAATATATTCTATTCACACAATTTGTATCAATTTTATGCTACTTACTATTACTATAATTTTTCCTTCGTACAAATTATAATTGTAGACGCAAAACAAGAAATTTGGCAATCGCGTTTCAAAAATATTTAGATCAAGAATCTTTCTAAACGATATCATATTAAATGATACAAAAAAAAAAAATAAACAAAAAATTTGGCAATCGCGTTTCAAAAATATTTAAATTAAGAATCTTTCTAAACGATACTATGTTAAATGGTAAAAAAAACAAACAAAAAATTTGGCAATCGCGTTTCAAAAATGTTTAAATTAAGAATCTTCCTAAACGACACCATATTAAATGATACGAAAATAAAAAACATAAAATTTGGCAATCGCGTTTCAAAAATATTTAAATTAAGAATCTTTCTAAATTCACACCATATTCAAAACTGTAGAGGAGGAAATTAACCCAAATGTGATCTAAATGTAGTCTAAAAATAAGAATCTTTCTAAATTCACACCATATTCAAAGCTGTAGAAGAGAGAATTGACCCAAATGTTTGGTCTAATGATACAAAAATAAGAAACAAAAAAATTTGGTAATCAGAAATATTTAAATTAAGAATTTTTCTAAATTCATATTATATTCAAAGCTTTAGAAGAGAAGATTAACCCAAATATGGTCTAAATGATACAAAAATAAGAATCTTTCTAAATTCACACCATATTCAAAGCTGTAGAAGAGAGAATTCACCCAAATGTAGTCTAAATAATATAAAAATAAGAAACAAAAAAAATTTGGCAATCAGAAATATTTAGATTAAGAATCTTTCTAAATTCATACTATATTCAATATTTTAGAAAGGAAAATTGACCCAAATATGATCTAAATGATACTAAAATAAGAATCTTTCTAAATTCACACCATATTCAAAGCTGTAGAAGGGAAAATTGACCAAAATATGATCTAAATGATACAAAAATAAGAATATTTCTAAATTCACACTATATTCAAAGCTGGAGAAGAGAGAATTGACTCAAATGTCTGGTCTAATGATACAAAAATAAGAAACAAAAAAATTTGGTAATCAGAAATATTTAAATTAAGAATTTTTCTAAATTCATATTATATTCAATGCTTTAGAAGAAAAGATTGACCCAAATATGGTCTAAATGATACTAAAATAAGAATCTTTCTAAATTCACACCATATTCAAAGCTGTAGAAGGGAAAATTGACCAAAATATGGTCTAAATGATACAAAAATAAGAATCTTTCTAAATTCACACCATATTCAAAGCTGTAGAAGAGAGAATTCACCCAAATGTAGTCTAAATAATATAAAAATAAGAAACAAAAAAAATTTGGCAATCAAAAATATTTAGATTAAGAATCTTTCTAAATTCATACTATATTCAATATTTTAGAAAGGAAAATTGACCCAAATATGATCTAAATGATACAAAAATAAGAATCTTTCTAAATTCACACCATATTCAAAGCTATAGAAGAGAGGATTGACAGTGGCCTAAAAGGGGCGATTAAGTGTCTATTCGGTGTCCGTATCGCTTGCTCCAAGTTATTTTCCAACCTCGAACGCATCGGGGATGGCCAGTTGGTGATCTGCCAAACCTGACGAAGACAGGAAAAGCTCTTGGGCCGTCACCAACGGCAACAAGCGTTGGCCAGCGTCGACTCATCCCCCGTCTTCTCTCTCTCTCTCTCTCTCTCTCTTCTTATTTTTTCCCTCATTGTTATGAAATTACGCGTTTCGTCAGACGAAGAAGAAGATTACGGAGGCGCATCACGATTCGCGAGTATTTGGCACCGTGTCAACCAGTGGCGATCCAGTCAATTTTAGAATCGAATAACAGCACAGCCTACCCTTGAGCATTCTTCATTACTTCATTTCCTTTTTTATTTCTTTTTTTCCTTCTTTCTTTCTTTCCGCTTTCTCTAGACAAGATAATTCCACTTTGTTTCGAAACGAATCTTAACACGCTTCTTAAGAATGGTTAAAGGGAGAGGGGGTAAGATTGGCCAACGATTAATCTTTGTCGACAAAATTTGAAACGGGCTGAGTTCGATTAATAATTTGGAATTTCGAATTTCACGAAATTTCTCTGTTTACAACTCCCCTCTTGGATTTGGATCACTTGGTATTGGACTGCTCGAATAAAAATAAAGCGCGCGCTAAAAATACTCGTCGCTCTTCTTCCATCAGTTCCTTCCATCGGTGATATAATATTTGTCCTCGAGGATTACCCTATCGGGCAATGTCGATGAGAGAGGAATACAGTAAGATCGTAGAGAGATATTAAAATCGCCTTTCTCATTATTGATATATTGAAAATGCATTTTTACGACACACGTGGTTTGAAATAGAGATTCCAATTACACATTTTCTATTTTTCGTAAATGAAAATTTTACGCGTATGAAAGATCCAGAAGCTAATCAGTGTAAGCCACAAAATTTGCGAAAATTGATACTAGGCTATCGAAGTAATTAATTGATTCATTAAAAATTTGAACGTCAAAGAAAACTTTTTGAACTATATGTATATATATAAATATACATGATTTCATTTCTTTATATAATTTTGCAAGTCAAATTTTCAAAATTTGCGAAAATGAAATCAATTAAATCGATATTATTGAAGTAATTAATTGATTCATTAAATAAAAATTTCGACGTCAAAGAAAACTTTTTGAATTGTATGTAAATCATTTTCAAAAAATATATTTAATTTCATTTCTCTAATTTTGCAAATAAAATTTTCAAAATGTTTTCAAAATTTTTTAAAATTAAATCAATTAAATCAATATTAAGCTATCGAAGTAATTAATTGATTCATTAAAAATTTGAACGTCAAAGAAAACTTTTTGAACTGTACGTATAAATATATTTGATTTCATTTCTTTATATAATTTGCAAATTTTCAAAATTTGCGAAAATGAAATCAATTAAATCGATACTAAACTATCGAAGTAATTAATTGATTCATTAAATAAAAATTTCGACGTCAAAGAAAACTTTTTGAACTATAAATAAATCATTTTCAAAAAATATATTTAATTTCATTTCTCTAATTTTGCAAATAAAATTTTCAAAATGTTTTAAAATTAAATCAATTAAATCAATATTAAGCTATCGAAGTAATTAATTGATTCATTAACTAAAAATTTGAACGTCAAAGAAAACTTTTTGAACTATATATATGTATATAAATATACATGATTTCATTTCTTTATATAATTTTGCAAGTCAAATTTTCAAAATTTGCGAAAATGAAATCAATTAAATCGATACTAAACTATCGAAGTAATTAATTGATTCATTAAATAAAAATTTCGACGTCAAAAAAAACTTTTTGAACTATAAGTAAATCATTTTCAAAAAATATATTTAATTTCATTTCTCTAATTTTGCAAATAAAATTTTCAAAATGTTTTAAAATTAAATCAATTAAATCAATATTAAGCTATCGAAGTAATTAATTGATTCATTAAGTAAAAATTTGAACGTCAAAGAAAACTTTTTGAATTATGTATAAATATACATGATTTCATTTCTTTATATAATTTTGCAAGTCAAATTTTCAAAATTTGCGAAAATGAAATCAATTAAATCGATACTAAACTATCGAAGTAATTAATTGATTCATTAAATAAAAATTTCGACGTCAAAGAAAACTTTTTGAACTATAAGTAAATCATTTTCAAAAAATATATTTAATTTCATTTCTCTAATTTTGCAAATAAAATTTTCAAAATGTTTTAAAATTAAATCAATTAAATCAATATTAAGCTATCGAAGTAATTAATTGATTCATTAACTAAAAATTTGAACGTCAAAGAAAACTTTTTGAACTATATATATGTATATAAATATACATGATTTCATTTCTTTATATAATTTTGCAAGTCAAATTTTCAAAATTTGCGAAAATGAAATCAATTAAATCGATACAAAACTATCGAAATAATTAATTGATTAATTATATTATTAGAAATTCGAACGACAAAAAAAAACCTTTTGAATTATGTGCAAATCTCTATATAATTTCACAAGTCAAATTTTCAAAATGATTTTGAAATAGAATAATTTCATATACGACTGGTCATCGATCATTGAGCGTCACCACTCGATCTTATTATCGATCGTCCAATAATTATAAATATAGATCGGGGAAATTTGACCAAACTGAAACGAACTAAACTTTAAGATCGATAAAATTTTCGAATAATAAAAAATTCTCTTTTCTATTTCTCGACGAGTCGCGGTACCAAGGAACGATAGAGGTGTCTCGTTGAGCGAAAGGGACGAGCAATTTTAAGGGAAACTCACCCTTCCTCTGGCCAGCATCTGTTCGGCAGCGTACACGTATCCTCCGCATCGAGGACAACCCTCTCCTTCTGGCGCCTTCGCGATGGCTCTTGGTTCCAGAATGGCGTTCGATCCTCTCGCGAGTTCCCTAAAAACGTGCCCCTTGTAGACATCAGATCGTCACTTCACCCGTTTATAGTGATGAAAAAAAGCTGTGATTCCCAATTGGCGTGCCAACGCCCCACAAGAATTCCACTCAAATTCTCACATATTTGGAATTAACTTCTTTCACAGCCGATTCTGTTTTCTTTCACCCTTTTTTTTTTTTCGTGATATTAAAATAATCAAAGCGGCGAGGAATTCATTAAAATCAAAGGATTAAAGAAATAGAATCCGATTTAGAAGTTACTCGATTTGCAGCTGTTGTTGAATTTTTTTTTTTTTTTTATTCGAACTTGGCATAAAATTGGATTGAAAAAATTGCACATTTATTATCAATTGAACGAGGTATGAATGGTAAAATATCGATAAAAATAGAATAAATAAAGTTGTAAACTCGATCGAGTAATAATTAAAACAGAATCTATATAATTTTTTGGAATTTCAATTACCAAGTAAACTTTACTTTCAACCAGTTGCAAATGAGATAATAAAATTCGGCTGCGAAAACGTTAATTCGTCATAATAAGGGAGAGATGAGAATTAATAATCTCGAATTTCCTTTTTTTTTTCTCGTTGAAAGGTTGCTCGATGAAAGAAAGAGAGAGAGAGAGAGAGAAAGGGGTGGGGGATATTGATCAGGGGCGTTGGAATACCAGGAGGTGGAGAACCACCAGAAACAGAAGCAGACAGTACAAGAAAACACCACTGCAAAACAGAAGAGGGAGGGATCGATCGGTGAAACGACAGAAACTCCACTGGAACTCCACGAGCGCTGAAAGTTGAAATAATTTTCGTATACATCGAAAATGGTTTCGAGAGGTTTCGAAACGCGTGGCGAGTTTCCGTCGTCCACGGATCGACGAAACGAAAACGAAAACTCTAAATGTAATACTAAAAAAAAATGATAATTACCAGAAACCAGACGAAAGAATAACAACCCGGGCGGTTAGAGAGTGTTAGGCACATGTTAGTTAATCGGTTAGTATCCCGTTTCCCTTTTGCGACCACGCAAGTGGCTTCCGCCGAGCCCCGAGAGGAGAGCCAAGAAGCGGATCGTGTGATAACAAGAAATCAAATATAAATAATAAATAAATACGTTTTATTCAGAAAAAATAAAAGAAACGAGTGAGGACAGAGCAAGAGGCACAAGAAAGAACGAAAGAAAGAAAGAAAGAAAGAAAGAAAGAAAGAAAGAAAAGAAAGAAAGAAAACAAAGAAAGGAGGGGAAACCATGAAAAAAATGGGAAAGCAAATAATAGAAGAGGGATCGATTGAAAATTGAAATTTTAAGAAAGAGTTCGAATTTGAAACAGAGAGAGAGAAAAAAAAAACGTTCAAAGATAAATAAACAATAGGTAGGTAGGAGGAAACCGAAAAAGCGTTTTATCTACGGTACAGCACCCCTACACGTGTGTCTGGAAGCGAGCAATGTTGTATGTATATTGTATGTTGCGTGTGTGTAAAAATCGCTGTTGTCTAAACAGAAGCACCCATTGAGTTAAACGTGTTAGCAAGGGTTACGGAGTTATTGTGTGTCTCGAGAGAGAGAGAGAGAGAGAAAAAAATGAATAAAGAAAGTAAAGACTACTAGAGAGAGAGAGAGAGAGAGAGAGGCCGTGCAAGTGTGTTGCGTATATCGATAAATCGCCCGCGAGATTTGACAGAATTTATATATATATATTTGGAAAATAAAAAATAATACGGAAAATAAAATTAAGAAGAAGAGAAAAAGTGACTAAAAAAAAAAAAAAAAAAAAAAGAAATATATATATAAAAGCGGTTGGTTTCTCAATGTGTGAGGCGGTAGAAGAGAAAAGGCAGAGAGAGTCAAGAAGAGAAATATAGATATAGAGAGAGAGAGAGGCGGAATCTGACTCGGTGCTCACCATTTTTTTCTTTTGTTACTCGCTAGTTCCCTTTATCACGAGGATTTTTCGAGCGCAGGCTCGATGTGATAAAGCGACAACATATATTGTTCAATCATGGGCCTCCGGTTGGCTCGCACTCGGCGGGGCTGGCGGGGGGTGTAGTAGGGTGTTTTTTTGCTCTTTTTCGATATTTTTTTGTTTTCTTTTGCTTGGCTTTTTCAGTTGCTCGTTTGTTTGCTTTTTTTTTTTTTTTTTTTTTTTTTATTATTATTATTATTTCTCGTGTTGTTGTACTTTCTTTCGTTTCTTTCTTTAGAGAGAAGAAGATTAAGAAAAGAAGATTGAGGAGGGGAGAGGGGGGGGGGGAGGGACTCAAAAATTTGGGGTTGAGAGAAGAGGTTGGTTCTTCGCTAAAAACGTTAGAAAAAAAAAAAAAAAGAAAAAAAGAAAAAAGAAATTAAACGGCCTGGCTTGGAATTCGCACGTATTCGTCCTTGAACCGGTTCGTTGCCAACCGGTTCATTGTTCTCCATTTGTCGTCGAGGCCAGGTGAAAATTTTGAACGCTTTTCCGCTAAGATATTAAATATCTATCTTACATATATATATATAAGTACATATTTAAGTTAAGTTAAGGTGTGTATATGGGCATGTACAGTGGGTCAAAAACGTCTTTCTTTTTGTGAATCACGTGATGATATAACCGGCATATAAATTGGACACAATTATTTTTCCCCTCTCATCTGTACCATAGTAATTATTTTTCGAGACGAAAAGAATTATTTATCCAACAATATTTACAAGAACATTTTTGTCCGACCGTCTATGCTCTCGGAAAATAATCGCGAAGCAGTTGTGTCAATGAAGAAGACCAGATTCTTCTGTTTTTTTTTTTTTTTTTTTTTTTTTTCTTTCCCTTTTTAAAGTCTTTTAATGGCACTTATTACAGATGGTACAAATGATTCTATAAACTAGCGTAACGTAATGTAATAATCGCATAAAAGAAACGAGAAAGAGTATATATATATATATATATAATAATGTGTAACTGTATATATATATATACGAAAACGACCGCTCTTAATCCAGTCGTTTCACAAAAGGGCAAAAGTGAAAAAAAAACAAGAGAAAGAACAAAACGGAAGACAAATAAAAGGAAAAAGAAAAAAAAGAGAGAGAACGAAAAAGTAAAATAAATCTAAAAAACAAAGAGAACGGAAAAAAGAAAAGAAAGTATATATATATATACACACATATATATATAGACAATAAAAAGAAAACGGGTGAGAAGATAAGAGAGAAAACCAGAAAAAACGTGGGTAGTAGTTAAACGTGACAAAAGAGAGAGAAGTCGACTAGATTAAAACACAGTTAATTAATCGATGATTATAACGTCGTCGTCGTCGTCGTCGTCGTCGTCGTCGTCATAGCATCGCAATCACCATCATCATCATCATCACTATCATCGTAGTCGGTGCCGATGGACGACGAAAGGATCACATAAGGGGCATTAGGGGAAAAGGGATCAGGGATCGGATCAATCGAAAGAGGGATTACAAAAAGAGAAAAAAAAACTGACTAAAAATTAACGAAACCAAAAAAAAAAAAAAGAGAGAGAGAGAGAAAAAGAGACAGAGAGAAACGAAACGAGGAGGATTGAAATCAGAGAAATGCTGAATGGCATATAAAAAGAAAAGAAAAAAAAAAGAAGTAAATGAAAATTTATAAATAATAGGGGAGAGAGAAAGAAAATAAAGTCCTAAAAGGGAACACGATAATTTTACACAGTCGTGATGCTGTAATGCACATGTACGCAGACGCATGCTCTCCGTCCTTGGGTTTCTTAGTAGGCTGCCTTTAAGTGTGTTCGCGTGTCTTCCAATTCGTTCTTTCTGATACGATTTATCGTATCGAGAGGAGGAGCAATTGCTGTCGAATCATTGGGCTTGGTCGATGTTGGTTGGTTGTTGGTCGGTCGATTTTCATACAGTTTTTGTGATTTTTTTTTTTTTTTTTTTTTTTTTTNTTTAATTAACAGCACGTATTGTATGGTTTCTTATAAATGATGATCATATACATAAACGACTGAGGGGAGAAACATATATATATTTTTTTTTTTTTTTTTTTTTTTTTTTTTAGGTTGAGGAATAGGAGGTGGGGGTGGGGGTAGAGAAGGGGAGGGAGACGACGGGCAGGTGCACTCACTCGCTACTCTTCAAATGTTCGCCCTGATCCATGGACAGGCAACCAGCGCCTCCACCGAAGCCGTATCCCTTAGGACCGAACTTGCGTCCATGGCACACTTTGCAAAAAAGCTCACCCTCGTGCTCGGTGCAGTTTGTCGAGTCGAGTAATTTGCCGCACAGACCTGGAACACACAGGAATAGTTTGGCTATTCCGCCTATTCCGCCGTCCTTCCGCTAGGCTTCCCTTTCTTTGGATTTTTTTAATTCGTCTCTTGCCATTAAAACTGGACGATCGTTAATACTGATTTTGATTTCGTTCAATTTTTACAACTACGAGTTTCTATCATGCGAGATCAGTGAAAATTTTAGAGAAAAAAAAAAAAAAAAAAAGAAAATTTCCTCGGCACTGAATCGAAATCAACGATCATTAATGGAATGATTATTTTTTTTTTTTTTCAAAATTGTGAAATTTGTTAACGAATGAAAAGAAAACACGATGAGATCAAACGAGAGGTTGAGAAGAAATGTGCGCTAAATTAATTTGTGGATGTAAAAATTGTTCGAGATTCGGGAAGGAAATCAATCTTCCAATCTAAGAACGAATGTTCCCTTAAGTCTGGTTTACATTTCTGTCAGCGGTAATATTCCTTATTAGATTAGAACTTGACAGGTAGAGGCTGGTAAATGAATTAATACAATTATACGAAGAGAGAATGCTTCACCTACTTTCTCGACCGGCTGCACTTTACATATTACATAACTAATTCTAGTTGAGAGTTAAATTTATCAAAATCTTATGAAATTCGCACAAACACGTGTTCACAATTTGTTACGTCATTTAAAATAGAAAAATATTTGTTCGATTCTTCCTTTCTTCTAATTTATTTCAAATTAATTTATTAAAAAAAAAAAAAAAAGAATTCTTCCAATTCATTCCAATCGAATTATTATTCTCTGTCCACATAATCAGAGAACTCATTCTTGATCGATCATTTCATATAATTAATAATCAAATATTCAAAAATATATTGCTCAAAATCGAAATCCATCATCTTTCACAATATAATATAAGATAAAATTAAATAATAATATTTTAATGATTAAAAACTTTTCAAGCTCTTAAGGGTTGATTTACATATATACTATATACTCGTGTGAACGACGACACAAAATCGTACAACATGAATCCATTGAAAGTATCTTATTGCTCTTTTTTAAAAGAGAGACCAAAAAAAAAAAAAAAAAAATATTCGAGGAATATTCGTGAATAAAGTATAACATCCGCGTTAATTTTCGATGCAGCATATTTCCGCTCAAAACCGCGGATGAATATTCAATGGAGTTCCTATTTCAAGTAGGATCACGAAGTACGGATTTTTGCCGGCGAGTTCGCGCGGGTCGTTGCACCCTCGACTTAACGTTGGGTGGTTCTATTTGATTTCTGGCTAGCATACAAAACTAATTAAGGCCAAGACAAACCATCCGGGACTGGCATAAAACTTATTTATAGGGATGGCTAAATTTAAAAACGGCTGATGGTGTTTTTTGCGCAATGGGGGATGCCGAGATCTCTGACAAATCTTGTGAATCAATTAAGATTCATCGTTCAAATCATATTCGAGTATCGATCGTTTAATTTTCGAAAAGATAATTTTCTTAAGAAAATTTTACGTACGAGCTCGATGATCTTTCGATAGTTGCCTGCTTTTAATCATTCTATCGAAATAAAAATATTTATGTTTTTTTTTTTTTTTTGAGACGAAAGAATTCTATAATTTAATTAAAAAAAAATTTTCGATTCATATCTGATAAAAGTATAGTTTGAGAATGTTTGAGGTAGCATGTTTATCGAAGTTTGTTTGATTATTGAATTACAAGATAAAAACACGAGGCACATGTTTCTAGGATAATATTTAATATTTGAGACGAACGCTTACCACACTTGAAGCACATCTTGTGCCATTTGAGTCCTCCAGCAACACGTTCTTCTGCAGCGTACACGGATTTGCCGCATTTGGGACACTTGGGATGTTCTACTGGTTTAAAAGGCATTTTGTCTGTTACTGAAAAAAAAAAAAAAAAGAAGAAAAATGCTCGATTAGTTTCTAAATCGATATAAAATTTCGAAATATTAATCATGTTTCTGGATTTTTATTAAATTTAAATGGAAAAAAAAATAAAATAAAATATTCAATTAGAAGGAAAAGCGAAGATAAAATGATGCCTTTAAATTCTTCTCTTTCTAGTGGAACGAAATTTAAGTAAAAGTTTCGATATTTTAACAAACTTTACGATACGTAAACAGTGAATAACTCAACCTCCAATTACCTAATCTTGCACGAGGAACGTAAACAGTTCCAGTCTCCGCCCTACTACCGATGGACGAAGTCTATTTTTAACAATGGAACAATTTGAATCTTAAAGTTTGTGTTCAATGACCAAAAAGAATAAAGAAAAAAACAAAACTAAAGAATACGTTGTTTCTATCGCACACAATTACATCACAACATCAAAGTGCAATGATGTCATTATAAATAAAATAAATCCCAATTTTTCATAGAAATGAAACCAAAAAGTACCGTAGAAGGATAATCATAAAAATTCCCCTAGAACTTCAATTATTATTATTCATAGAAAATTTTTATTATTAACGGCAACAAAAAACTCCGTAGAAAGATAATCATAAAAATTGCAATTCCCCTAGAACCTCATTAATAATTATTCATAGGGAATTTTTATTATTAGCGGTAATGAGATGATAATAAGATGACCCCAGAATAGAAATTATCCTCATAGATATTAAGAAGGCATGAAATTTTAAGGCGTCGTTCATCATCGATGAAGGATGAAATATTAAAAGAACTTTGAAAACCTTAAATTTAAAATTTCCAACCACGTGGCTTAATATAATCTGGAAGTAAACAACACCAGTGCAACGTAACGTTATAAATCCCTATTAAATATCATAGGGTAATATCAGAGGCAAAGTTGAGAGACGAGGTTGGTAAGAAATCGAAGTTTGGACTTTTGGAAGCGGGTCTAGTGGCAAGTATAGTGACCACGGTATTAGTAGAAATGCTAGAGAGACTACGAGAGAGCAGAAAGAGAGATGGAGGATTCTATATCCGTGCAGACGCAAGCCGGATCGCGAGGCCGTATTAGGGAAGGTGCTAGATTCTCCACAACGCGGTAGCCATTACCCCTACCTTCGCACCCATTCGCTTCTTTCTAACCTATACTTTATTTCACCCATTGTGCAAGTAATTTTTCTTCCCTATATATCTCTTTCTCTAACTCGATAAAATTAATTTTTTAATTAATCGATTTGTGATTTGAATCTTTTCTTCTATTGAATTCGGTATAGAATATTTGAATTAGAAAATGATGAACCGATGTTTTGGCAAAAAAAATTAATAATTAGAAGAAATATTTTTTTTTTCACGAGTTTATTATTGATTCCTTTTGCTTGATCGATAATTAACTTTTAGAGTGTTTTAACGAGTCATAAGCGAAGACGATAAATGCGGTTGTTCGTTACATCATAACAGGCCGAGAAGCGCCGTTGCCACATTCTAGATCCAAACGATCTCAAATTTCATCGCGTTTCAGTGAACCCACCACGCGTGTTTTAACTGAGGCCGCGTAACTCTATTCTGCAACACGCCTCTGACTAAATGTGGCCCTCCACCACGACCAAGCTCGTCTCTTAAAATCTCATCCACCAACCTCTGAAAATTATTATATTTCGAGGGACAAAATTAATCCATCCGTTCCCTGTTTCACTTCAAAATCTTCCAACTCCGACTTCTAACCTCGAAATTACGAAGATCAATTTACGAGATATACGCGATCAATGGAATTAACGAGAAACAATATATAACCTCGTTTAGATTAGATTAGTCCTCACGAGTTCTCCAAAGAAAATAGAGAGGTTCACTTGCTACCGTTTGAATTCCCAAATCGCACCAAAAGCGATGATTCGATTACGATCGACGTGGAAGTCACTTTTTTCTCTCTTTCTCCCCTCGACACGTGGAGAAGCGTGAAAAAGCAGTCGAGGAGAGCGGCGGTAGTTCGTCCAATCTCCGGTTGGCCGCGGAACACTGATGTGCTTGTACTATTACTCACCACCGGGTATCGGTCGAAGTCACGAATGGAAAATCGGTAAACCTCGGGAAGGAAGGCAGGCGTGAAGATGAAAAAACACCGAGAAGCACTCTCTACACCGCACTAATACTGGATTCGAATGGCTGTTCTCGCGTCGTGGCCGTCCTAGTCATAGCCAGCCGTTTGCACACGGCACGTGTGCAACGGAACGTCAGTCCTGTTGACGACAACGTAGCGGTGGCAGAGGGAGTACTAGCCGCCTTCCATCTCTCTACTAGCGGGGGTGTTACACTATACTTCAGGATACCGAAACGGCCGCTCGTTAACTCGATGGGATCTTCTTCTTGGTGACAACTGAATGGACAATATAATAAGCGGGGGAATAATTGTGAGAGAATTTTCCAAAATTTGGAGGTATAACACGTACTTGGATATTTTGATTTGACACTCTCCCACCTTTTCGTTCGTTCGTCGCCGGATTTTTCGTGATTTTTCGGGTCGTTGGAAATATCGGGCCGAATATTAACAGCCGAGCCACTACCTCGAGCCAATAAATTTCAATGGAATCGAGGATGATCGAAATTTTATTCGAGAAATCACGTTTATTATATTCGTTATTTTAAATTATTATAGTTTTATTTTTTTTGGTTTGGTAATTATTTTTATAATTAAGTATTATAAAATTTATTTTTGTATGATATCTGAATTATTATCGAAGAACAAACGAAACTATCTATGCATATGTTATTGAAAGATGTAAGATGATGTTTATGACGTGGATATTTTTGATAAAAAAATTTTGGAAATTATTGGTAATTGAGAATATATCTGTCCTTCTTGTCAATAAATTTTGAAATATTACAGATTAAATTATTCGTAATTTTAATGCGGCCATTTCTATCATCAAGTTTTAAAGAGAAATAGAAATTAAGATAACTGAATTTTTGCTTTATCATAAATTATTAAATCTTGTTCTATAATTATATAAAAGTTGAGATGAATTAAAATTTTTACTGGCAAGAAGATTTAAATAGAAAATAGCAAACAGTCTCGCGAATAAGATTATCCCTTGTCTGCGAACCAGGCAACAAGTGCTCTCCTCTCCATCTAGGAGAACATATCTCAATATCGTATTTGCACGAAGAAAACATAACGCATACAAATTGCATAAAAGAAGAAATGTTCGAAACAAGCAAATTATTCTTTTCTACAATGATTCAATCCGTAAAAAATAATTTCCTATAGATAGATGGGTATGTATGAAAGATTGTGCAAACATTGAGATAACAATCGAAATGCTTTGGGAAACGTAATATTTACGGCGGAAGAAAGAGAAGTATCAGGCAAGGGGACGTTAAAGAAATATACAATAAGACAGGCACAGTTTTGCAACGCGATAGTAACGAGCCGATTTTTAGAAAGAAACCGGAACGCAGCAAGAATAACCGTAAACGAACCGAGAGAGAGAGAGAGAGAGAGAGAGAGAGAGAGAGAGAGAGAGAGAGAGAGAGAAGGGAACGAAAGGTGAAGCATTCGAGAAATTTCGTGGAAACCTGAGAACTCGATGCGTGAATTTTATTTCGCGTAATATGCAATGATGGAGGCCTTGCAAGTTCAACGATCATTTCTCGCACAGCACTCGATCGTTGCCTAAATATTGAATGTTTGTACATGGCGCAAACCTAACCTCCAACTTAATCAAGCCTAATCTATTTGTCGTAATTTTGTTGGAAAGTTTGGTTTATTTCGGTTGATGATTCTGCCGGATTTATTAGAAATACGGGATATAAATTAACCTTTTATATTTTCGTTTAGTCGAAACGTAATCTAGAATCGGGTTCAAATCAAATTTAAATCTAACTTTGATCCCGTTTCTCGGTTGATTATTTTGTTATGGATAATTTATTTTCACGAATTTTCAACAATTTTCAACGAGAATTTGCCTCGAATTAAAGTTGAACGAATTTTAAAATACACGTGGAAGGATGGTAAAAGGCTGTCGATGGTGTCATGAATCACGCATCGTTAGCGATACGGTACTTTGGTATTCGTTTACATTGTGCTACACAGGGAAATGTGTTTTCTGAGCGATGAACCAGCGTGAGATACACCGAAATAAATTTATTACTCATACATTTTGGACTAATTCCCGGATCTTAATGGCATTCGCGAACAACAGCAACGCGATACCATAATTTTTAGATTAACACCAGCCGAATTGGCAATTTCTCAATTCTCGATCTCAACAATTTTTCTGAAAACTCTTTCGCCGAAAATGTATACTTTCTCGACAATTTTCTATCCTCAGAATTTTTACAATAGAAAAATTTATTTCGAAGAATTGAACGTTTTGTCGTAATTATTTTTTTTTTTTTTTTTTTTGTTAAAAAATTGTCAAAATTTTTCTTCGTTATTTCTGTTTTTGTACGCGTTACTATTTCTTTGACCTCGTTAGAAACATCTATGCATCTAACACTTAAGAATTAAAAAAACAAGATAATATCACAAAAATAAAGATCTAATAAAATTTAATAATAAATTTAATAATTCAATAATATAAATTTTTATATTTCAATAGAACAAATAAGTTTCAAATAATTTTAAAGTTTCAGATTCATCTATTCATCTAATCTAATACTTAAGAATTAAAAGACAAAGATGATATCATATCATAAAAATAAAGATCTAATGATATTTAATAATGAATAGTGTAATAAACAACATTTATATTAATCCTATGTAAATATGTTTGAAGCTTATTTCACATACAAAAAACAAAAAGTATTCAAAAATATAAACTTTCATCAGACTTACATTTCAATAATAACAAATAATTTTAAAATCGTTTCAGATTTATCTATGCATCTAACATTGAAGAGTTAAAAAAAAACAAAGATAATATCGTATCATAAAAATAAAAATTTAATAATATTTAAAAATAAAAATAACGTGATAAACAACATCACACAATCCTGTAAACATTAGCTCAGAACTTAATTCAATGTACAAAACACAAAAATAGAAACTTTTATTCAAACTTATATTCTAACAGAAACGAATAAATTTCCAAAATAATCTTAAAGCCGTTTCAGATTCATCGTCATTCATCTACAAGTCGCAAAAGGTTCGAAAGGGTTATGGTCGAAAACCTGAACCCCCCCTCCTGGACAATCCCTGAACGTTCCCATGAACGAGAGGGGCCACATTTACGGGAAACACGATAAAATTACGAGCTAGAAACGGGATTGTGCCGGGATTCCACTTTTATTTCGGGCCGAAGATGGGGTAGGGGTTCGTCGTTCGAGGTTCGAATAAGGATCGAATTCCGTTTTTCTTTTCGAAAAGCTGCTCGTTACCCCGAGCAACGGGTAGAGCCCGTGGCGCGCACACACGCGATTCGGTTGTGGGAACACACTCATCCGTTATTAATAGAATCTTGCTCAAATTTCTATTTTTAGAACGGCTTATATGCGCGCACGTGGCTTTATGTAAAAAGCTCGCGGAGTATATGATCGCCGCGGTCACGCCCACGCAGCCAAGTACTCGGGAAGCCATTGTGCCTGGACTTATCTCGGCTACTTCGCTCTAGAGTAGTACCTACATTTTTCACCGTTTTCAAAAGACACAATTATTGTAATCCAACCAAGTGCATTTTTACAATATTTAAAATATTTGACGGAGAAATATTATTGTGAGATATATATATATATATATATATACTGTTCTGTGTGATGCGATCGATTTGAAATAGATTCACAGCTCATCGGAATAAAATATGATTCAAACATTGCATTAATCCGAATTGGTTATCCAATTTACCGGATTATTCGGCATTTTTAGAATTTTATTCTGAAAAATTCTTTTATTCAAAATAAAAATTTCTTCGTTTTTCCAAACTCGTCGTGTGATCAATGTAGGGGGGGAAGGAATTTTTGGAAGAGGATATTGAGAAAAAAAAAAGCGTGGGGTATTATGGTTATTCCTTATGAAACATTAAACAATACCATTTTCCATTTGCTATTTCAACAGGAGGATAATAAAAAATGTATGGATACGCGTGTATAATTGGAACGTTAGCCGGAGACACGTGACCCATCACCGTGGAGCGTTGTCTCGTTGATTGACAACGGAATTTGATTATGTTTCTGAGAATGGATGTCCGTTCAATCGCGTTAAAAATAGCGGAAGCTAGCGCAAAGAGGAAGTGCTCAAAAATTCATCGTATCGCGAAAAACTATAGTCTCTTTATGCATGTATTTAATTAAGAAGTGCAACGATCTCGTCGCGTTATCATTATACACTATTCAAGAAAAACGGATACAATGGATCTTGGACGGGAAAATGTTAATTAAATTCGCATAAGCACGATAATAAAAATATCTAATTTGGGATATAAATAACTTTTAAGTATCGGTGATTATTTTTTCCAATTTTTAATTTCACAATTTTTTTCTTTTTTTTTTTTTTTTTTTTTTTTTTTTTTTTTTTTTTTTTTTTTTTGAAAAAATTCGTAAATTACGAACTCTTCTTCTTCGTAACGATCTTCCTTTAATTATTTTTAAACGAATAAGAAATCGTGGTCGTGAAACTTTTTCGAGTCTGTCATCCCATTAAAATCTGTCGAAAGGTAGAATAGAACTTTAACTCTTATCGGTGCTTCAAACGAATCTCTTTGAGGCGATGAAACTCAACCGATAACGAAACACATTCTGCACGAGACCGAAGAAAGAGAGAGAGAGAAAGTTCTATTAGTAGCCATTAAATTGAACCAGCGCGGCGCATAATGCAGAAATTCTTGACTCGTTCCACTTGACCGTCCTCTCTCCTTCGCCCCTCCTTTCACAAGCTGAAATTATTTCCGTCCTGCTGCGGGTGTTACATGATCGCGGAAGAGCTCTCTTCGAGCCATCCCTCGAAAATCATCGACTCGATATCCTCCCCCCCTCCCTCCCCCCGTTCCATAATTCACAAAATATTTCCCCATTTCTCTTCCAATCTAACTTCATTTTTTCATAAAAATATTTCTTTTCGAAACAGAATACGTTCTCTTGTTAAAAAATTTTTAAAAAAGAATTTAAAAAAAAATGATACTATAATTATATAAATAATAATCTATAATTATATAAATAATTATATAAATAATTATCCTCAAAAATATTACAATCTTTCATTTTTATTC